TTTATGTAACAAACTTTCTCAACGTGCTTTCTGTAAATAACTCATTGGTTTGCATTCTTTTATGGACAAGGAGAAATCTGATGGACTGTTGGTTTGTCATTGGAGAGGTGGCACTGCCACCCTCCAATCCACTGTCACTTTTGGAAATCTATAAATATCGGAGCCAGAAAATAAACTTCCCTTTTTTCACCTTGAGAGCAGCGGCGTGTACGCGTCGCGTTGTTCCGCGTCCTGCGGTGACAGTTTTCCTTTCCTTTATTCATTTCAGCATTTCAAGTGCAAGATTTAGTGCTAAACTGACAGGCTCAACTTGTAAAGCAACTGGCAAATCTTGAAAGAATTGTGGTTTTTCCCCCCCTCCCCAAGGAGGCTGCGAGTGCCACGGTTGGTTTTCCACTGCAGTGATGGATGGCACTCCGTGCAGGAAAAGCACTCCCATATCTGAGTGCTGAAGCAGCCCCAGGTCTGCTTCCTATCAAGAGAACATTTTGTCACAGAGAAATTGGAACAGCATGGGCACCACACGCAGAAATGGGAAGGAGAATTGGACGTGAAATTCGTTTTTGCCCCTAAAAGAAGGTAGTTTCTGCTGTCTCGGTTCACAGGGGATGCTCATTTCATTTCCTGGGGATTGCCCACTCCTACATTTCACCTTTGGTTCTGGAGAGCAGTGGGATTGCAATGAAATCAGGAAAAAAACAATCAGCAAAACCCCCAAAGCAGCAATACCTCCTGCCCCTGCAAGCTGAACTGAAGGAGCTGATTTGATTGAAAGGGGATTATCAGGGTCAGGGATCACCTCAGCTTCTCAAGTCCTTCTGGAGCCAAGAATAAATGTCATTATTATTTAAGAATAGATGTCATTATTATTTAAGAATAAATGCCATTATTTGGACATTGAAGGTCTCTATTTTAAAGCAGTTATTTCCTTGAAGGAATGCATGTTAAGGACATTGTCTGTTCCATGCACAGATGTCCAAGGGTGTCTTCCTCCTGTCTGAGGTCCCAGTGAACCCAGACTTCTGAGATGAGCAGGGAAACTCCTGCTTTGCCAGGGAAACTCCTGGTTTTCTCTGTGTATTCAAAGAAACTGGCAAACTTCTGGGGAAAAGTTGACTTTTTGGGGATGTCTTGTGCCAAAACTGCAGTGGAGCTTCTTTGATATCTCCCAGGAAGTGAACTGCCTGGGAAAGTGGTGGAGTCCCCATCCCTGGAGGGGGATCCGAGGCATTTGGATGCAAAACTGGCTAGGAAATTGTTCACCAAGAAATAGCGCCTGATTTGACAAAATATTGGGATTGAGGATGTTAAGTGATGGTGTTAAGGACAAAATTGGCCAGGATTTGCTCACCTTCTCCTAATTAATGAGTGATACTTCATGTGTCACCATTCCAAGCTCTTTGGATATCTTCTGTTCTTCTCAGAAAAGTCATCTTAAACACTTCTGGGTTTTAAAAATTTCATTTCCCAGTCGTCTCGTCGCTGCTCTGGGTCTGAGACTTTCCTGCCTTTGGTTTGGAAGCAACTGTTGCTAAGGGACATCCAGAACGCCACTGGGATGATTCCAGAAAAAGGGATTACAGGCAGAGCCAGCCTGTGCTATGCTCATAATGGGAACCAAAAAAAAAAACAAAAAAAAAAACAAAATACCAAAAAACCTAAAGTAAATAAAAAAATGAAAGGCCAGTGTGACCGTGTTCTCTGGGGTCTTAGGATGAGGGAAGAGATGAGGATCTGACTCCATGTTTCAGAAGACTTGATTTATTTTATGATATATATTACATTAAAACTATACTAAAAGAAGAAAGGATTTCATCAGAAGGCTAGCTAAGAAAAGAATAGGAAGGAATGATAACAAAGGCAGCTGTCCCAGCTCTCTGTCTGAGCCAGTTGGGCTGTGATTAGCCATTAATTAGAAACAACCAACATGGGCCAATCAAAGATCCACCTGTTGCATTCCACAGCAGCAGATAATCAATGATTACATTTTGTTCCTGAGGCCTCTCAGCTTCTCAGGAGGAAAAAAACCTAAGGAAAGGATTTTCCATAAAAGATGACAAGCCAGGAGCTGCAGTGGTGATTTTTGAGAAGAATATATTCCATTTCTTTTCCTGACATGCACTTCCCGGACCACCTTCAGCCATTCCCTGCCACCACCCCTCACCTTGGGCAGAGAGAGATGAAGGGTTTAAAACCCTGCAGAGCTTCTGCAACCCCAGCTGATTTTGGGGGACCCAGTTTGGGATTTTGACCCATTTTGGGGGACCCAAAGGGAGTTTTTTTTTGCAGAGCTCAGCCTGTGCCTGGAGCTGGATAACACCAGGCATTCATTTCATCAGCCCTGCAGGATCACAGCTCGCCTGTGAACGCCGGCCAAGTGAAAAAGGGCCAACAATGCCTTTCTTTTTTCTTTTCTCCTTGATTGGCTTAAGCCAGTATTTTTAGCATTTTCTGTTTAACCACGAGCTCAGAAATCAGAGCAGGTAATCACCAATTTCAGCATGGGGCGAATTATGGCAGCCCCTCCATAAAAGCCGCGGGGATTTGGGGAACAAAGTCGGGAGGAATTCGGTGCCAGAGCCGGAACCACGAGGAGCCCTGGGCTGGGCTCTGAGCTGGGCACTGCCTTCAGAAAGCCAGCATGGAACGAATTAAAAAGGGAAGCAGCAAACTCCTCTGGGGTTCCATAATCACTTAAACATTCCTCTGGGACATCTGAGGGAGAGGGGAGAGGGAAAAGGGGGGTGGGGGTGGTGAAAAAAGTGTTTCTGACATTCTGGGGAGGAATGTTAGCAATAAAAACAGGGACCCAAACGGGTGTGCCACGGCCTGCATTAGTCACAGAGCAGATGTGCAGCCTCCACTTTTCCCCCCCCCTGCTTCCTTCCTTCCTTCCTTCCTCCCTCTCTCCTTCCTCTTCCTCCCTCCCTCAGCAGTTCCACCTGCGGGATGCAGGGCTGGGGGGGTGTTTGGTGTCTCGGCTCCGGGAAGGAAACAATCGCCCCAAAAATCAGTTTGGGAGCGGAATGACCCGAAAAATAAACCATGTGTGAGTTTTATTTATCTCTCTGCTTGCTGCAGGGAGCTCAGAACGGGGTACAAATGATGAATTTTGGGGGGTTTTGCCTCATTCTCTCACCCCTAGGATTCACAGGGTCACCCCTTTCCTCTCTTTGGAGGAAGGCACCAGGTGATGCCAAGTGACTCTGGGGTCAACAGAAACGATCCAGATTGGTCTGGACCAATTTTTATCTAATTTTTTTTTATTTAGAACGAAAATTGCTTTTTTTCCACCCAAGGAGGCAGGTCATCTGCTACAAGGCCTCAGAAATTCCAGTGGGAGCCAAGGAACCCAAATCCCCTCTTGCCTGTGAGCTTTTAATGTCCCCCTTGGCTTGCACCTCTGTGTGTGTGTGCAAAGAATGCCAAGTTTGGGTTTATTAAAGGAAGAAAAAAGGGAAGAAATAAAAAAAACCCAAGTGCCCAGAGCCCAAGTGTGACATAAGGAGCCTCGAGGCAACTTTCATCATGTTTTTAATGTGGTTTCCTTCATCTCCCTGGCCTGTTTGCTGCAGCACATTGGAGTTGGATGATGTTTTTACCAGATCAACGTGAGGATGCTCCCCCCACCACCTCAGGGCTGCACCTGAGAACAACAAAATAATAAAAAACCAGTTTAATCTTTCAATGAACACAGTTCTGAAGCACAGTGTCATTTTGTCCTGGCACTAATTAAAAAAAAAAAATTACAAATAAAAGCATTTGGCCTCATTATTCACCCCTAGGGGGATTGGACATAGTTTGATTCCCTAAAAGAAATCCCAAGCCTTCAGAAGCATAAAAATCCCAATTTCAGCCTCAGAATTTGCCTGTCCATCCCAAAAGGAGAAATGGGAGAATCCCCCTCATGCTGCAGCAATGCTGATCATCTCCAGGTCAGGATTTTGCCTAAAAAATGAACACAGCAGAGCAATCATTGCCAGCATTCCCGTGCTCCTGTGCCTGCTGCACGTGCTGTGTGCATCCCTGATCCCTGCATCCCATCCCTGTGTGCATCCCACATCCCTGTGTGCGTCCCAGATCCCTACATCCCATCCCAGAGTGAATCC